CTGACACCCCAGCAAGGATCTGACACCCCAGCAGGGCCCTGGGACCCCAGCATGGCCCTGGCACCCCAGCAGGGCCCTGACACCCCACCAGGGCCCTGACACCCCAGCATGGATCTGACACCCCAGCAGGGCCCTGACAGACACCCCAGCATGGGCCTGGCACCCCAGCATGGATCTGACACCCCAGCATGGCATTGATGCCCCAGCATGGCCCTGACACCTCAGCAGGGCCCTGACAGACACCCCAGCATGGCCCTGGCACCCCAGCATGGCCCTGACACCCCTGTGCTCTCCCTCCAGGCTGCCATCAGCTGCCACAGTGCCAGGGACGAGGGTGACACCACCGGGGCCATCTGCCTGCAGCTCAACGAGTCCAGCACCTGCGTGAGTGTCCCTGCAGCCCTGGGGTCACCCAGACCCTCCCGGGGGCTCTTTGGGGTGGGGGGCTCCAGCAGTCACCCTGGGCTGGTGCAGGAGGGGATGGTCTCAGCCCCAAAGGGTTCCAGGGGAAACGCGCCCTCCCAGCTGCACAAATTCTCCTTTTCCCTTTGAGCTCTGGGCTCAGCTCGGCTTCTAAAGCGTCTCCCACCGTGTCCGACAGGAAGCTGCCTTTGTTCTTCTCCTTCCTCTTCCCTGCTGGAAACAAAAGTGCCTTTTTTTGTCTTGCCAAGTGCCCTAGGAAAGAAAACAGGGCATTGCAAGGAGCTGCTCGGTGTCACCAACAGCTCCCGAGGGGATCCGGGCTCTCTGTGACCATCCTTGGCCTTGAGCACCAAAAATGGGGAATTTGTGACAGAACAGGGGGGTTTAAGCTGGAGGAGGGAGGTTTAAATCACCCACTGGGGTGAGGGGAAAACACCTCTCCAGCTGGATATTCACTGGTGCAAAGAAATCAACATCAATGCAATTGGCAAAAGTTTTACAGAAATTTAATGAAGCACATGTACACATCTACTTATGCACATAGTCAGCTTACAAAACTTTTCATGTCTTTCGTGTCTTTTCTGATCTGTTCCCATGCTGACGGCCTCGTCTTCTTCCTTGCTATGGATACACTGGAAAACCATCAATTGTTATTTATTTTATTAAGTCAGCTTTGCTGCAGGCCGTCCAGCCCCTCCATAGCAGGGCTGTCCCCTCAGCAGAGCCCACCCCAGCCCCAGGTGGGACCAGGCAGCTCCCGGAGATTTATTAAAAAACATGGATATTGATCTATTACCGATATCCAACCGTGATGGACAAAACCTCTCTGACAGTTTAGAGTTAGAAGGTGGGTGTTTATTGTGGGGTAGCTCCCAAATACACACTGCAATTTACAGATGATTACAGAGTCCTTTTATCTCTACAAGTATTGAATACCCAAAACACAAATGCATATTCATAACTTTGGTACATCCCATTCCCCACTTCCTATGGTAATTAGTTCAAAAGCTATTAAGCATGAGTAGTTTGTTCCTTGAAATGGGTCAGTGGTCCCTTGCATGGGGAGGGGTCCCAAAATGAGGAAGTAAATGAAATCTTCCTCGTTCTGGCCTTTATATAATGAATGAACCCATTGGTAGAACTGCCATTCCCCATCTTCAATTGGTTTCAGAACAGAAGAGTCCAACAATCGTCTTATGTTCCTAAAAACAATTGTCTTATGTTCCTAAAGACAATTGTCTTACGCTCCCAAAAGCTATTTATCACTTTCTATATTCTTCATTATAAACCCAGCTAACCAAACATTGTGCTGACAAGCTATCAATTATTAGTTAACCGCTAACTCTTAACTTCATCAAGGCCTACCTATTTATTTTAATTAACTCCAATAACGCTTATCTCTAACTAAAATCTCAGCTCCTCTAAAATCTCTAAATTCCTTAAAGTTTCTGTCTCGCTGGCAGGACCTGGAGCCAGAGGAAAGCAGTCCTGGCAGGACCTGTGTCCCTCTCTCCCCCTGGCCTTTCCCGAGGCAAATGAGCAATCAGCTGGCACCGGGAGCTGCTAATTGCAAAGGGAAACTCTGACACTCCGATGAGTTCTTTCCACAGCACAGAAAGGAAAATACACACTTGGGTCTCTTGTTCCATCTTGGCCTTCCTCCCCCCCCCGAGCCAAGCTCTATAGAAACAGCTGAAAATGATTTGTTTGTTGTTCTCCCGTGGAGGAGTTTCTGGATTTTTGCACTTTCAGAGGATGGAGGGACCTGGGGATGGCTCTGGGCAGAGGAGGAGGGCACAGAGCAGGACAGGACAGGACAGGACAGGACAGGACAGGGGGGCTCTGCCTTCCACAGCCCCAGGGTGGGACCCAGCCCAGCACGAACATATTCAATGTGTGTGAGGGCTCAGTGGAGCTGTCTCTGGCTCTGGGGTGGGCACAGGGGGGCTGAGCAGGGTTTGGCAAAGCTGGGCTCTGTCTGTGAGCCTGAAAATATCCCCAAGGAGAAATCTCATCCTGTCTGATGCAGAAACCAGCCCACAAAGGCTGCAGCTCCTCACTCCTCTTCCTCTCCCCCCTCCCAGAGTCAGTGCAGCTCTAAAATGTGAGAAATGTGGTTTTTTACCTAGCCTTTGATCAGCAACCTAGCAAAAACATTGAAGACATTTCCTAAACAGGAAGGCTCAATGCTTCTTTGTTATTTCCCTCCTTTCCCAGCCCCTGCCTGGGACTCTGAAACAATAGAGCTCTTCAGTTGTTCCAGCCCAAAAACTGGGGAGACTTGCCATGCGATTCAGAGCCTAAATTTAGCTTTGTTTAAATGCCATTTTCAGGAGTTGCTAATAATACCTGCATTTAATTTATTCTCATTAAGTTAAGACATGAGAAATGAGCACCTCCACCTCCAAGGTGTTGGGCAGTGCTGGGGTGGGAGGGGAGGGTCTGACACCCAGCTCAGCTTTGCAGGGCACCAAAATCCAAATGGGAAAGCACAACACCTCCACCAGCATGGCCGAGGCAGAGAATTGCTCAGTTTGCTTGGACTAATGGCTGCTGTTTCTGAAATTTTGGCAGGAACACTTTTTGGAGAGGAAGGGGTCAGATTTATGGCAAGCAGTGTGTGAAAACAGAACCCACAGCGTGGAGTCCCCCTGTGAGATCAAACTCAGCCCATCCAGCCTGGACAGGGACTGCTTGCTCCTCATCCTCAAAGGGGAGAAAGGTCAGTGAGGGCATTCCTTGGCTCAGATCATGGTGTGGGCAGTGGGACAGGGGCTCCTTCCTGGTGGGGCAGGGCTGTGAGGGAGATCCTGGGAGGAGAAACCTCCCTGCAATTCTGCTCCTTCTGCCGGGGTCCTGCTGCACCCCTGGGGCTGTGGAACTGCCTCAGGAGCATCCCCCGTGCTCAGCCAGGCTCCTTGGGGTGCCCTGAGCTGCAGAGGGTGTGATTCATGTGTGTGTGTGTAAGGTCATGAACATTCAATGTGTGTAACGTGTGTGACAGATATATTTAATGTGTGTAACATGTGTGTGATGAACATATTTAATGTGTGTAATGTGTATGATGAACATATTTAATGTGTGTAACATGTGTGATGAACATATTTAATGTGTGTAAGGTATGTGATGAGCATTAAATGTGTGTAAGGTGTGATGAACACATTTAATGTGTGTAATGTGTGTGATGAACATATTTAATGTGTGTAATATGTGGGATGTGCTCTCCTGTTTTGAACTTTGCAGATCCTGACAAACTCCTGAACACGCTCCAGAAGTCCCACTGGGAAAAGGTAAATCCCTTAAGCAAATTTGGCTGCAGAATGTGCCTGGCCAGGGGGGTGAGAGCTGTGGCTGCTCAGCTGAGGCTGGGACGTGCTGAGACTGGGACCTGCCTCCAGTCTGGGGGTGCCTGAGGAGGGCAGGGATCCCTGAGGAGCCCAAGGCCAGGCTGGGCAGGGTTGGAGCACCCTGGGGCGGTAGAAGGTGTCCCTGCCATGGCAGGGGTGGCACTGGGTGATTTTTAAGGTCCAAACCAGCCTGGGATCCTGTGGTTGGAGCCAACCACCAGGGATGCAGCACAAGAGAAGCAGCACAAGCCGTGCCATGGCTCTGTAAATGCTGAAATGTTTTCCCAGCAGAGGTCAGACCCAGCAGTAACTCTCAGGATGCAGTTGGCACTCAGATTCTCCAAAGTCCAGGCTGGCATTCATGAATTCCTCCCCCAGCCCTCCCCTGAGGCTGGCACTGAGCCCCAGGTGTCTTCCAGGGTATGAACAGCAGAGCTGAGAGAGCTCAACCAGGTGCTCCAAACCCTGAGTGTGCTCCAGAGGCCAAAATTCCAAAATTCCCTGTGCCTTAGGAGACTGCAGGCTGGGAAGGAGCCTTTGAGAGCTGGGGCAGAAGAGCAGCAGCACTCACAGAGACCTCATCCAGGTGCTCCAAACCCCGGGCTGTGCTCCAGAGGCCAAAATTCCAAAATTCCCTGTGCCCCAGGAGACCCCAGGCTGGAAGGAGCCTGTGAGGGCAGCCAGGGCTGGGGCAGGGCCGGGCCAGCAGAGCTCCCCAGGGAGGTGACAGCAGCATTGTTTGAAGCCTGTGCAGCAGATGCGAAGGTTTCCTGTTTGTCCCACTGGCGGCTCTCTTTGCTGTTGTGTTTTTTGCAGTTGGGAATAGCATCCCTGCAGAAGGAGGGCCC